CCTCCCCACGTCGAGTATCTCGTACGTTGGAAGGGTTACCCTGATGAGGAGGCTACCTGGGAGCCCCTCGAGCACTTGCAGCACGCTCGCATGTTGGTGCGTGCTTATGATCGTGCTCGTCGTGCTGGGTTCACTGCTCCTCCTCAGCCCACTGACCCTCCTCCTTCTCCCCCGGCTGAGGAGACCGCTGAAGCCGAGCCTGCTCCATCTGAGGCAGACCTTCAACAACAGCCGGATGCTGCTGAGCGTCCACAGCGCACTCGTCGTCGTCCTGCTCGATATGATGATTGACTCTGACTTACCTTCCCACGTCCTTGACTTTTCAGTACTCCATCCATTCCAGTTTTGCTACTTCGGCTCATCGACGTTGCGGCTCTTCCTCGACGACATTCCGGACTTCTCATCGTGGACGTCATCGGCAGCTTCTTGGACTTCGTCACGATCAGCTCTGCCTACTTCAGACGTCGCCACTCTCTTACCACTYTACCCTGTACAGTACCCTGCTTGTGTCGCATGATGGTCTCCCTTTAGCCGGGTTCCTCTGAGTTGGGCTCTCCCTTGGTATACGCATAGGCATCGGGACCGTAGCGTTGCCCTGGCTTCCCATCTTACGGATCTAGCTCCGACTTCCCTCACTTTAGGAGTAATTTGCATGATTCCCTTACCCATCATCTTTCTACCCTTCGCCGGCCCTCACGCCCTAGTTAGGCAGCCCCGCATGCTTCATCTAGGTGCGTCCAGTATACCAGACTCCCTTGTTCACTTGCATGGTCGACCCTCCATAGCGGCCACCCCTTAGTCGAGCATTACCCGCCCTGATGGTCTATCTGTTAGGGTCATTGGTTCTGTCCACTCCCAGTTCCCTACCCTCATTGAGCCTGATGACATGTGTTTTCCCCTGTCACTATGTGTGGATGCCCTTAGGAGTTTTCGACCCCTAGGGTGCATTCGCCACCCTCAGAGACCATCCCACCCTTTGGTTTGCGACACACTTCTCATGTGACATATGGTTGTCTTATTGATTGCTTTGTTGCTATCAGACTGAGGCTACTGCCTCCGACAATTCTAGGATTTAGCTGTTCTGCTTTTGCTGTTCTTGGGACTTATACACTAGTCAGTTGTTACSAGACTGAGGCTAGTGCCTCCAACATTCTAGGATCTAGTTGTCACTACTTTYTGCTTTCCTAGGACATGTATGCTAGTTAGTTGCTTTTGCTCTCCTAGGACATGTATGTTAGTTAGTTGCTTCTGCTTTCACTTAGGCTGTTAGCTGTGACATTGTTGTTTTGTGACATTTTATATCCTAGGTTGCATCGCATGGACTCAACATGGAGCTTGCTCCGCATCCTAGRYTACTMAGGTTTTCTTTTCTTTGGTAGAGTTCCGCTTCTTGGCGGAAGCATGTTTGTATCTAGGCGATCCATCACAGGCCGAGGATCGTGTAGCGGACCTCGGGTTGGCCTGTGAGACCAGCCCCTTGGCCTGTTCTCACAGGCCTGTGTTGTATTCGGGGTAGGCCAGTCCAGGCCGGTACCTCTGTCGGTACCAGCTAGTCCAGTCCAGTCTCGTCAGTCTGTTGGGGTATACCCCAGCCATTGTCTGTTTTCACGCTCATTCTTCACTTGCACATTTCTGGAGTACGTGCGTTGGAGTCCTGAGTGGAAGTTGCGTTGTGCGTCATTTTGCTCCCCCTTCTTCCTCCTCCATCTCTACCACTAGCGGAGCACCATACCTGGTGGGTCCGCTACAACGGCGAAGCCCGATGCACCAGTTTCCGACAGACCCAGTACCCATGTGGGGAGATGAGCAATCAGAGTCCCGCATCCAAGACCAAGCGGAAGAAACAACTGGTGATGGGTAAGCTGAAACTAGCCACTTAGAATGTCAGAGGGCTGGGGGATACTACGGGAAGGGAGAAGAGGAAAAGGGTCAAATCGTGGATATTTAACCAGAAACTGGACTATATCTGTTTACAGGAAACTAAACTGGGAGAGGATAAGTTTAATTTGATTCAGGGATGGTGGGATGGTCCACAATTCTGGTCGCCAGCGCAGGGTACCAGAGGAGGGGTTAGTATTCTAATCCATAGGAGGTTGCAGGACGACATCCTAGATGCAGAGACAGACCTCTGGGGTAAGTGGGCCTGGATCAAGCTCCGAACAGGCCAGAAGGACTGGGTATTGATGACGGTTTATGCCCCCTCAGAACTGACCTCCCGTGCAGTGTTTTTTAAAATCTACAAGGAGTGGTCCCCCCGACTGACAATCTGGTCATTTTGGGAGATTAGAATCTCTCTCTAGACGAGGCGTTGTGTAAGGACTCTAGGGTGGCAGGAGGGAACAATAGAAAAATTCCCACGAAAAATGAAAGTTGAAAAAACATTCCATAAAAAAAAATTCTTCATATTTATAAATTATCATTACAATGTTCGTCCAATTTAAAATTTTCAATTTAATTTGATATGTTCCCGTCTTAATGTGAGCTTTTTCTTCCAACTACAACTATTTGTTCAAGATGGAATGAAAGTCTGAACGAGTTTATGAAATGTTTTAATTAGACTTTCATTCTACTACAACGAATATCTTCTAATTTAGATTAGATTAACCTATTTATGAGTGGAAATCCTTACTTAGAATGACAGTCCAATTTAAATATTTCATGAACTCATCCAGACTTTCATTCCATCTATAGCATGCAGTTCAAATTAGAAGGGATACCCCATTCTTGGAAGGAAAGTTTTCAAGTAAGATGAAAAATTTTAAAATTGGAATGACTTTTTTTAAGATGGAATGAAAATTTGAAATTTAGAATGTAATTTTACTCTAGAATGATTATTTAATTCTGGGAAATTTTTCTGTTGAAGGACACTTCAACACTGTTACAATTAATACAGGAGAGGGAGCTGTCAGATCCGTACAAAAGTTTGAACCCAGAGGACCCAGGTTATACCTGGTACTTCAACATACGCAGAGAGAGGGACCGAGAAGAGGTTATAAGGCGTAGACAGGACTACTGTTTAGTGGGCAAAGGATTGACACAGGCGGTGACGCATGTGTACCAAAAGCCCCATCCGCTGTCGGATCACAAACCAGTGATCATGGACCTAGCCTCGGTGGGAGAGGGAGGAAGAGGGCGTGGTTATTTCAAACTGAACGCGCAAAACTTGGAGGATCCGGGGTTAACCTCTTGGGTTAAAGAACACATGGATTCGTGGCAGCTGGTCAAACCACAGTTCACTTCCACAGCGGAATGGTTAGATGGGGGCTTGGCTGTGATCTCAATGGTAATGGATGTGAGCACCAGGAATTTAGCACGAGAGCGTAACAGAGAAGAGGACCAATGCAGAAGAAGGGTAGAAGAGACAGAGAGGAGACTGAAGATGCACCCGATCTCAGAGTTAGTTTGGGCAAAGGAGAGAGAACGCAGGCTGGCAGCCTGGGAGAAATTACAGATGGAGAAACAACTAAGATGGGAAGAGCTGTTGAAAGACAAAGGTTTGCTGGTAGACGACAAAATGACAAAGGAAAACTTCCGCAAGCTACTCCCAAGTACTTCCTTTCAACAGGTGGTGCAACTGAATCACCCTTTTAATCAGGGAGCGCTACCGGCCACCTCATAGGAGGACATGCTCGAGTACGCGAAGATCTACTACGCAGACATTCTTACAACCAGGCGCTGTCAGGACACTGCGGACTCAGATCTCTCTTAGGAGCTGGACATGTGGGAAGATACCACAGTCCGACTGGAGGAGGTGGACCGGCTGGCATTAGACAGACCAATCACAGAGGAAGATTTGAAGCAAACTCTCAAGGTGATGGCTGCTGGGAAGTGCTCGAGAAGAAATGGGTTGACAGTGGAGTTCTACCAGACCTGTTGGGAAGCGTTGGGGCCTGCGTTAGTAGAAGTGTACAATGAAGTCTTGATTGTAGGGAAACTGGGAGGGGCTATGACGCACGGGGTTATTTCGGTCATGTTCAAGAAAGGTGATAAGACAAACATTAAGAACTATCGGCCT